AACAAGTAATTCAATTCAAATACTTAATATAGTTGATTACAAATGGGTAAAATCATTTCCTGGTCTATCTCCTAACATTACAACTTCATCAACACCACCAACACCACCAACACCATCAACACTATCAGTAGCATCATCAGCAACAGCAGCAGCATCAACATCAACACCAGATCCAGGGCTTGGTCCTACAACTATTCTAGTAATTGTGGTTTCAGTTGGTTTTGCTTTGATTATAGCTGCATTTATTGGTGGTTTCCTTTTTTATCGTAAAAATAGACAAAAAAAGGATCCACAAGAATTATCATCTTTTAATGATGCTTCATCATCAGCTCGTAGCACACAAATAATGTCTTCTCCCCCTCCCCCTTCTCCCCCCCCTCCTTCTTCTCAAGGTCAAATTAATGCTTATAGTTTGCTTAATAGCAATAACAATCTCAACAACAAAAACAATATTAGTCCACTTTCAATATATATTGATCCTACAAATCCTGCATCACAAACTTTACCAATGATTACTACACCACCTTTATCAACTCCAACAACAGCTACAAATTCAATATATGGTAGTGATATCAACAACAATAATAATTTTGGTAGTTTTGGTATCACACCACAGCATTTACAATTATTGCAACAACAACAGCAGCAACAATTATTACAGCAACAATTATTACAACAACAATTAATGTTGGGAAATTATGCTAATCAATCACTTCTTCCAATCCCAAATTTACAGCAACTTTCTAGTACTATGGATCCAAATTTACAATCAGGGTTAGAAAGAAGTACTCCGGGTTTAAATAATATTGCAACAGATCAAACGCATACCAATATATCTACAACAAATCAAGTAGTTTATAATGATGATGGTAATGACGATGATGATGGTAAATGATGATGATGATGATGATAATGATAATGATGATGGTAATAATACATTCAGTAATAAAATACCTATTAGTAACAAATTCATCCATACAACAATCCATGCAATATGATATCCACAACTATCTCTGAATTATTAATACTGTATTTTTTAATAAATTTTTTTTAATTAATAATAATAATAATAATAATAATAATAATAATAATAATAATAATAATAATAATAATAATAATAATAATAATAATAATTTTATATATGATTGTTAAATTCTTTTTTTTTAGAATTATTCTTACTATATTAATTATCAATTAATTGAATTATTTTATTTATTCATTATAAAATAAAAAACTTTAAGCTATATTATCATGATTAAAGCTCCGAACAGTTCGTTCAGTTTTTTGGTTTACATTAAACTTCGCAAAAAAATTATAATAACTTGTGGCTTGTTGTTGCGAAGTAGAAATGCTGGAAAGATCCTGTTTCTAAATACATACGTAGTCTATAATTTTTATATCATAGTATCGATGGTCCAAAATTAGAATTCGTAATAGTAATACAAATTCTTATTTGAATTATTCAAATTATTCGTTTTGTTCGTTTTATTTGAATTATTCTTTTATTTGTTCCATTTGAATTATTTCAAAACGAATGAAACAAATAATTTGAATAGAAACCCTAAGAACGTTTTATTTTTTACACTGAACTCTAACCAACACGCCATGTGTTATGATTGACAATACAGTTCAATAGGAAATATTTCTCAATGCCTTTCATGATACAGCTCTTGAAACATTGGAAGTAGATTTATTTGTATTGAATCTCTGAACTGTCTGAGATACTAAAAACTACTTGGTAAGTCAGTCCCTGATATTCTAATTTTTACGATCTGCTTATTTAGAATTAAAATTAAAATTCTAACTTATTATAGCCCTGGTTGAACAATTTTTCTGGAGGCACAGACTTAATTACTCAAAGACGTTGTATTTTAGAACCTAAAACAATAAGAGTTTGAATGAGTTTAATTTTATATATGAAATGATAAAATCTCCTTCGTCATCATTACTGACTGTTATGAACATATGGGATTTATCGTCACTTTCCTCACATTATTCACTTCTTCGTCTTGTATTTCTTGAAGATCCTGAAAGTTTTGCAGTCCCTAGAACTGATTCATCTATATTTTATTTAAGTCCCTTTAGAAAAAAATGATTTCAACACCCAATTTAAAAGTCAGTTTAACTCTGAAATAGTTGTTACGGCTATCACTACATTTTCTATTACTATTGAAAGATGTTCATTAAAATGATTGGGCATTTTAATCTTTTGTTTAATGGAGAAATAATTAATTACTGAACTTACAGCGTGTTAAGAAAAAAACGGTGGTGATAAAAATTGCATATTTAGATTCGTTTGATTTTTGTCACTGAAATTTTAACATATTTTTTAATAATAGTTCTGACACAAAAATATACATAATAATCATACAAAAAATTATACCAGTTTGTAACGAAAGTTCTGGAGATTATGTATATAAACTTTCATACTTTCAGATTTTCTAGAATTTTGTCAATTGGAATTTGAAAAAACAATTCGATGCATAAATTTCTTTAGTAATTGTTTTAAAATCTACATAACAATATGCTTCAAAAATTTTATATGCAAGATACTCTGATTCTCCGGTATAATTTTTTTATTATAATTTTGGCTACTTTTTCATTAAAAACCAATATTTTACCAACCGCCATGTTTTCTTAACACACTGTATACATTCTTCTATTTCTTGTAGGATTAATTAACTTTTAAATAAAAAAATGGTTGCTGCAGTCTTTTAAGAAAAAAGCCAAGTTTGGAGGGTTACAATAGACATTATAATTGCTGTTAGAAAATTTCGGTGGAATTCCAATCGCAAATCTGTCCAACATATCCAAATTCACATTGACGTCCAACATTCTTTAAATTTTTTTTCATCAAAATGTTAAGGTTTTTGGTTGAATTACCAAATAAATAAATTCATTATAATAATACTTTATTGAGAATGTAGAACCGGAACTGACCTTTTTTCCTCAGTTACATTTGATTAATGTTATGTTCTACTACTACAAACTTAAAATTTTCTAAATATGATTTGATGTTTTTATTCAAATTTATTTTGGTAAGCAAACAAAGATTAAATTTGTCATCATAAATATGTGGTGTCAAATTAACAAATTCGTTTGTTTACAAAATTAAAAAATTTTATTTTGAATATAACAGTCAATAAAAAATGTGGTCTTTTTTTTTTTTTCCAACTTTTTATAGTTGTTGAATCAATCTAATTAAAAATAATGAACATCTTTTTAATATTTTTAATATTGCTCAAATGCTTATGTTTAGTGGTAGATTCAGCTCCAACTGACCCAAGATATGTACATGCCACTGTTATTGTTAACAATAATTTATATGTTATGGGTGGTAACAATAATGGTCAATTATCAAGAGAATTTTTTTCTCTTGATTTGTCACAACCATTTGATGCAACAACTCCACCATGGAAGGATTTAACTGCAACTTCACCATTGCCAGTATTTATATCATGGGCTAAAGCTAGTTCCAACACTAATAATGATACAATATTTTTATTTGGTGGTATTATGGTTGATACTGTAACTGGTGATTTTAATTTGAAAAGTGTGGTTTACACTCATGATTTTAAAAGCAACCAATGGTTAGTAAACCCACCTGCTATTCAAGGAATGGCTCCTGAAAGACGTAGAGAATTTGCAAGTGTTAGTGATCCATTGACTGGCAAATTATATATTCATGGTGGAGGAAATGATATGAAAGTTCCTAAAAGTGTTTTGTTTAATGATTTTTTTATTCTGGATGGAAATAATTTATCCTGGAGTCAAATTGGGAAAACTGGTCTAAATATACCACCTATTAGAATTGATCAAGCTGCTGTATTGATTGTTAATGGAGTAATTGTTTTTATTGGTGGAAGAGAAATGATTACTCCTAAGGCTCCTCTAACTGCAGTTCCCATGAATAAGGTAATAAATAATAACTATAATGATTAATAAAAAATGTGTAGTTATTAGTTTAATATTAACCTATTATTTATTTAAAAAAAGCTTACATTATATGATACTAAAGCTGATACTTGGGATTTAATGGTAATTATTAATTTAATATGAGAAATTTATTTTAATTGGAAAATATATTAATCATTTTCTTGTATTGATCAGACTACAGTTGGTGGTCTAGATATTGATCCACGTACTGGACATACAGCTGTATATGGTAAATAATAATAATTATTATTTTTTTGTTTCTTATCATCATTTAAAAATTTTTTTTTTATTTTATATATTTATTTCTTAGCTGCTAATGGTCAAATAATAGTCTATGGAGGAACTACACCTGCATTAGAACTAACACCTACTCCCGAATTAGTTGTATTGGACACAACTACAAAACCTTTTAAATGGATCACACCTCCAATAACAACACCAGAAGTTCCTATCAACTCACTTACAGAACATCAAGCAAACTTAATTGGAGATTATATGGTGGTAACATTTGGTAAATAAATAAATTAATTATAAAATAATGATGATAATATATGTATGTGTATATGTATATGTATATTAAATCATTTATGTATCTTAGGTAATATAACAAATAAAGCTGGGCCACCTCTTAAAACAAGTAATTCAATTCAAATACTTAATATAGTTGATTACAAATGGGTAAAATCATTTCCTGGTCTATCTCCTAACAGTAAAACATCACCAACAGCTTCACCAAATGCTCCACCAGCAGCACCATCAACATCATCAGCAGTACCATCAACATCATCAACATCAACATCATCATCATCATCATCAACATCAACATCAGATTCAGGGCTTGGTCCTACAACAATTCTAGCAATTGTGATTTCAGTTGGTTTTGCTTTGATTATTGCTGCATTAATTGGTGGCTTCCTTTTATATGGTAGAAATAGACAAAAAAAGAATGTACAAGAATTATCATCTTTTAATGATGCTTCATCATCAGCTCATAGCACACAAATGATGTCTTCTCCTCCTTCTTCTCCTCCCCCTTCTTCTTCTCAAGGTCAAATTAATAATAATGATAATTTTATGAGAAGTATTTCCACAACAACACCATCATTAATATCATTACCCAATAGTCAAAGTCCCTCAAATCATAATTCTGTTTATAGTTTGCTTAATAGCAATAACAACCTCAACAACAGAAACAATATTAATCCACTTTCAATGCTATATATTGATCCTACAAACCCTGCATCACAAACTTTACCAATTATCACTACACCACCTTCAACAGCTCCAAATTCAATATATGGTAATGATATCATCAATAATAATAATAATTTTGGTAATTTTGGTATCACACCACAAATAAATAGTCCACCTGATTTGATTCAACAACAGCAATTACAATTACTACAATTACAATTGTTGCAACAACAGCAGCCACAACAATTTCAATCATTACAACAACAATTACTGCAGCAACAATTATTACAACAATTAATGCTGGCTAATCAATCACTTTCTCCAACCTCAAATTTACAGCAACTTTCTAATACTATGGATCAAAATTTGCAAGATAATGATGATGATGATAATGATGGTAATGATGATAACAACAATAATTATGATAATGATAATAATGATGGTAATGATAATAATGATGGTAATGATGGTGATGATGATAATGATGATAATGATGGTAATAATACAATATCACAATGATCGGTAATAAAATACCCATTAGTAACAAATTCATCCATACAACAATCCATGCAATATGATGATGATCCACAACTATCTCAGAATTAATAATAATAATAAAATTGTATTTTTTAATAAATTTTTTTAATTAATAATAATAATAATAAAATTAATAAATTTTTTTTAATAATAATAATAATAATAATTTTATATATGATTGTTAAATTCTTTTTTTTTAGAATATTCTTACTATATTAATCGAATTAGATATTACATGAAATATATAATTATATAATAAATATAAAAAGATTGATTTGCTGGTGAAGAGGAGATAGAAGAACAAAATATCTTGAATTTTTAATTTATTATGAATAAAAACTAAGTTTTTCAAACAGTTTAGTTCGGTTTTTCAGATGCTGGAAGGATACTGTTTCTAAATACATACATTGTCTATAATTTTTATACCATGGTAATGATGGTTCATTTCTTGCCAAAATTAGAATGGGTAATGATTGAATTTTATCCATTTCATACATAATGCCTGCCATGTTTAGATACAAAATTTGTACAGTTAGAGTTTCTATTCATAATACAAATTCTTATTCGAATTATTCATAATTTCAGCTCAATGTTAATCTTAATCTTAATCTTGATTCAAATTATTCTCTATTCGTTCTATTCGCTTTATTCATTCTATTCGAATTACTAATTTTATTCATTTAGTTCATTTTATTCAAATTATTCAAATTATTCATTTTGTTTGTATTATTCATTTGTTTATTTTGTTTTATTATTCTTTAATTTGTTTCATTATTTCATTTGAATTATTCGTTTTTGTTTGACTAAACTTTTGATGTAATTTAAATACTCAAATTAATAATGAAATAAATAATTTGAATAGAAACTCGAAGAACGTTTTATTTTATTCAATTCTTATATAAAATTCATCATGTCCACAAACTTTTTAAATACAATGCCTTTGAGTAATTAAGTCTGCGCCTCCAGAAAAAACTCGTTCAACCAGGACACTGGTTGCCTATAATAAATTTATTAGATTAGAAATTAATAATTTTAATTCTAATAAGCAGAATGCAAAAATTGGAATACCAGGAACTGCCAAATAAAGCTCCAACATGTCGGAGCTTTAATGATGATTCAATATTGGTTAAATGGAGAAATTACCACTTAAATCCCAAAACTAGGTATTGGTTAAACCATCAAAATCATATCATTTGCTTTAATAGCATCATTACAAAAGAAATTGGACAAAAAAGTTGAATGGAAATATATTACTATCATTGAATTAATTCGAGTCAAATTTTAAAGCGGTTCAGATTCCAAAAAAATTGTGGATTCGTTTCGATTCGGATTTTTAAATTGATGTTAAAATAAACGTGCTTAAGCTAGAATAAGTCAAGCCCTCATTTCAACAAATCTTTTTCCCTATAGACAATTATGTAGATAATAGCAATAGGTACGAGTTGTGGAATGAATACCC